GAATGGTGGCCTCCCCGACAAGCCCATGGGCTCTGCAGACTGTTCTATTACATGACGAGAGGAATTAATGTTGCTAATCCGTTGACCTTGAGATGGAGAGATCATTCTGGATTATCCAGAAGGGCTCCATGGAAAGAAGGAAGGAGAGTCAGAGCTGGAGAAGATGACCAAAGCAGTGGTTGGAGTGATGCCATCGTTGGCTTTGAAGACGGTGGAGGGGGCCACGAGCCGCAACATGTGGGCAGGCTCTAGAAGCTGGAAAAGGCAAGAAAGCAGATTCTCTCCTAGAGCCTCCAGAAGGAACACAGCCCTGGCAACACCTTGAATTTAGCCCCATGACACTTCTGGCCTACAGAACACAGAGATAATAAATTTGTGTTGTTTTAGGAAAATTCCTCACAATGCACCTCTTAATATATATCTCCAACTGGTGCTGCTTCTCCAATTGAACCCTGACTGACGTACAGTAACCACTTTGATTCCCTTTAAAAATATATATGAAATATCAAATTAAGGGGTTTCGTTGGGGGGCCCCTGTTTTGCTGAGAGCTTCAGCACTTTCTTTTTTTTCTTTTTCTTTTTCTTTCTTTTCTTTTTTTTTTTTTCTTTTTTTTTTTAGCTTCAGCATTTTCTAAGCTCTGGGAAAAGAGTGAAGAACAAGACATCAAGTTTCTTGTATCTGTAAAACTGGGCTAATCAGAGTCCCTCATAGGGTTATTGTACAGATTAAATAAATCACTGAGCATAATGCGCTTGGAACAGCGCCTGGTACAAGGTAAGAGTTCAAGAAATGTTAGAAGAGGTAAGGAATGGAAGAAAGGCAGGAGAGACAATCTCCCTGCCAGGGAGCTTATATCCTAAGGGAGGAAAGAAGGTGATCAACTCAGGAAGAAAAAAAGAAAAAAGAAGGAAGAAGGGGACAAAAATATCTGATAGTGATAAGTGCCTCAGAAACACTTCTGTTTAAGACTTTATAGCAGGGGTCAGCAACCCAGGGAGGGGCAAATCCAGCCTGCCACCTGCTTTCATACGGCTCGTGAGCTAAGAAGAGTTTCCACGTTTTCAAATGATTGAAAACAAGTATTATGAAAATGACAAGAAAGCCAAATTTCAATATCCATAAAGTTTTATTGGAACAAAGCTGTGCTTATGTAAATCATCTGTGGTTGCTTTCCCACTGCAATGGCAGAGTCAAGTTGTTGCTGCAGAGATCTGAACGCCCACAAAACCTGAAATATTTACAGGGTGGCTCTTTACAGAAAAAGTTTGCTGGCGGCTGCTTTAGACTGAGTGGCCAGGGAAGCCCTTCCTGAGGAGGTGATATTTAAGCTGAGACCAGACTGGCAAGAAAGAAGAAGGTTGGGGGCAGGGAGCACAGAAAGAACAGAGAACGAAGGCAAGAGCTTTCTCTCTAATTCTATAACAGCCTTCCAAAGAGGGGCTCTGTCAGAAACCATGATGGGACCCTGAGGTTCTGAGGATGCCGTGGTGTCCCAGGGTCACAGAGCCATGGGCCCGCAGTGGGGATAGGGAGCCGGGACTGCGCGCCCCGTTCCAGCCTCTCAGCCTGGCACAGCCCAGGAGCCTAGGGACTGCTTGTTGAATGGCTTTATTTGCCTTCCTGGGGGTAATGACCGGGATATTTAGATTAGTTCCCAGGAATAGGTGAGAAGGGCCTGGGATTTGCCCTCTGGCCTAAGAGCAGGTATTCTATGGCCTCTTGCTTGGCAGCAGGCCCATGATGGTCACAGAATCCCAAACTGGCCCTGATAACAGGATGTGAATGCGACAGCCCTCAGAGAATTCAGGAATTCTCTTTCACTCTCAGTAGTCCATGGCTGGCAGCTCAATACAAAAAGACCTACCTACCCCCCTCACAGGGCCCCGACTCCAGCCAAGAGGGGTTTTCTGAGGCTGGAAGAAGACGAACAGCCTCGAGCTCTCAGTCCCTGAGTGTGGCTCAGGGAGAACCCCACTCTCGGTCTTTTACGGGGCGGTTTATTCCTGCCAGGCTCTGTGCTAAAGGAGAGAAATAGGCTGTTAGCCGCATCTTAGAACCAGAAAACTCAAGGCAGTGGAGAGCCACAAGGAAGAGCAGTGCAGCAATAACAGGTCTGGGTTGGTAAAAACACAGACTCTGCGCCCGAATCCCAAACTCAACAGTTCCGGCTGTGTGACTTTAGGTAAGCGGCTTAACTTCTCTGTGCTTCAGTTTATAGAAACTGAAGATAGTATCTGCCTCAAAAAAAAAAAAAGAAAGAAAGAAAGAAAGAAGGTAAGTAATTAAGGAAACAATAGCTCAGCACCACACCTACAGGAAGAACTCAATAAATGTTGGCTGCTCCTAAGCAGTCTGTCAGTTAGCTTTGTCAACAGCCCTGAGAGGTTCTGGAGCGGCAGAGGACTTGGGGTATAAGCCAGACAGATCTCTCCTCTACCCAGGTTTTGGGGCCAAAAACCTACACGCCACAGTCTCTGAGCAAATCCTGCCTTCAATATGCGCCCAGAATCCATTCATTCCTGTCGTAATCTCTAGCATTTCACCGTAATCCAAATGACCATCAATGCTCACCTCGGTTAGTGTAAAAGCCTCCCAGCTGGCCAGAGACCACCGTCCGCCCAACTCCCCACAAGCAGGCAAAGGGGTCCTGATAAAAGTCAGGTCAGAGCACTCCCCTTCTTGAAACCCTAATACATCTAGAGTGAACTCACTCCTTTATTCATTCAACGATCCTTTATTATTGAGCACCTACTACATGCTAGGTGCTGTTCTCGAGATGAAACAACACAACAGACAAAACCTGCACTCAGGAAGTTTCCATCCTCGTGGATGGAGGACAATAAACACCTGTAGAAGCAAAACATATAGTATGTTAGGTGTTATGGGGAAAAATAACTCAGGGAAGGAGGGGGTGCTTGGATTTTAAACAAGGTGGTCAGCGAAGGCGGACTAAACAAGATAAGGGTTAAACAAAAAGCCTAAAACTGGGAAAAGGTGAGATCAAAGGGGCAACCCACAAGTGGAGTATTCTAGACAAAGGGTTGAACGGGTAGGAGATGGAAGTGTTCCTGGTGTGTTTCTGGTTCACGCAGGAAGCCATTGTGACCACAGTGGAAAATGTGCAGGAGGGAGTGAGTTGATTCACCTCGGAGGGGTAAATGGAGCAGGGCTGAGTCCTGTGAGTTTTCTAAATCTTTTTTCCTTTGACTGCGATTGGAAGCCGGTGGAGGTTCTAATTTAAGCAGGGGAATGACTAGAGGTGTTTTGTGTATGTCAGCTCAGAGCCCAACGTGGGGCTTGAACCCACTGTAAGATCATGATCTGAGCCGAAGTTGGTCGCTCAACCAACTGAGCCACCCAGGTGCCCCTTGTTTTCATTTTTTTAAACTCAAGTAAAGGGCGCCTGGGTGGCTTAGGCGGTTAAGCGTCCGACTTCTGCTCAGGGCATGATCTCGCGGTTCGTGGGTCGTGGGTTTGAGCCCCGCGTTGGGCTCTGTGCTAACAGCCAGCTCAGAGCCTGGAGTCTGTTTCAGATTCTGGGTCTCCCTCTCTCTCTGACCCTCCCCTGCTCACACTGTTTCTCTCTCTCTCTCTCTCAGAAATAAAACATTAAAACAAATTTTTTTAAACTCAAGTTAGCATACCGCGCAGTACTGGTTTCAGGGGTAGAACCCAGTGACTCATCACTTACATATGACACCCAGTGTTCATCCAACAAGTGCCCTCCTTAATGTACGTCACCCGTTTAGCCCACCCCCCCACCCACCTCCCCTTCAGCAACCTCTAGTTTGTTCTCTGTATTTAAGAGTCTCTTACGGTTTGCTTCCCTCTCTGTATTTATCTTTTTTCCTTCCCTTCTCCTGTGTTCATCTGTTTTGTTTCTTAAATTCCACATATGAGAGAAACCATATATTTGTCTTTCTCTGACTGACTTATTTTGCTTACCATACATATTACACCCTAGTTCCATCCACATTGTTGCAAATGGCAAGATTTCTTTTTTTTTGATCACTGAGTAATATTCCATTGTAAATGACTGAAGTTTTAAAGGATCACTGGAGGGATGAGTCAGAAGAGCATACAACTCTCGATCTTGGGGTTGTGAGTTCAAGCCCCACATCAGGTACAGAAATTACCTAAATAAATAAGCAACTCAGAAAAAAATTTCAAGGATCACTGGAGCCTGCAGTGCAGAAGACCACGAGGAACAACAGCAGAGCCTGAGCCACTTTACAGTTTGGGTAGCTACTACAACTGTTACAGGTACAAGGTCTTGGACCTGTAAGGGGGTAACAAGAGCAGAGATGATATCATACCCTAAGATGTTACACAAGGGTACCAGCCCTCCTGATGGGGCCCCTCTTACCGCTCCAACTCCGCCTTGTTCCTGCCTGATACCCCCAACTCCACAGAGCACTGCTAGGCACATAGTTGTCTAATGAGTATTTGTTGACTTAATGAACAAATTAATGAATGATCCAGGCCCAGATCATCATCACCTATTTTAATGACAGGCCTACAGTCAGAACTCAGCAAATGTTTACAGATAGAATACTGCACAATTGTGCAAGGCCCAAGTGGCTGTTCCTCTCTACAGAGAGGAAAACTGGGGCTCAGACCGGGGAAGTGTACCCTGGGGTCCCCCTGTGCAGCCTAGGCTAGAAATTTCCTTCTCAACTTTTGGAATGCAGTCCTGGACACTAGACAGAGAGCGCCTGCTCTCAGGGTGAGTCACAATGACCTCACAGGAGCTTCCCTCAAAACGTCCCCGCCCTGGGATGAGAAAAAAAAATCAAAATTTCATGGGGCCAGGTCACCAGATGCAGGCCAGTCACGCATCCTAAAAAGTGCCCCAGCATGGTCCTCCCACCTTCAGGCCACAGAGACAAAGGGACAGAAGGGCCGCCTTCGCCCGGCCAAGGCCCCGCCCCCCGCTCGTCGGCCTGCCCGCGCCTCCAGCGGAAGCCGGAAGCAAAAGCAGTCCCTGCTAGCCCCCGGCTCCGATCTCGGTGGTCTTGGAGGCTCCGCAGGATGGGGGAGAAGATGGCGGAAGAGGAGTGAGTGGGCATTTCCCGGGCGGCGGAGGCGGCAGGCTTGGGCCCCGGCGGGTGACAGCGAGCGCCTCAGGCCGCCCTCCGGCCCTGAAAGGCGGAGCTCCTTGTGCCGGTTGGCCCGGACTGACCAGGCCGGTGCCAGCGAGGAGGGCGGGAGGGATGGGCCTGGGCCCAGCCCGGCCGCGCAGCCTCCTTAAGGTCAGATCCTCTTGAAGGGATCGACAGCCCAGGGCAGGCCTCGAAAGCCGGCTGGCCGAAACCGCAACCCAAATTTCACTTTCCCATTTTTCGGTCTTCTGAATGTCGGGGAGAGCTCCGCCGCCTCCCCCAGCCAGCCCCCACCCCCCTCCTTAGCCAGTCGCCTCTTCCACCGTAACGGTCATTTTTCTCATCTGTCTCCTCCACTGAGTTTCATTCATTCATTAACTCTTGGCCATTTACTCTATTCCAGGCCCTGGGCACATAGTAGTGAAGGAGGCCGACCAGGAGCCGCCCTCAGGTAGTTTACATTTTAGTGGGAATAGACCTTCGATAGGCAAGATGTTATCAGTGCTTTAAGAGGAAATGGAAGTGTTAGGACTGGGGTCCCCCCAGGAAGACGCCACACTCCAGCTGAAACTTGAAGGACAAGAAGGAGGGTTAGGAGAGGGAACAAGCAAGTGCAAAAGACTAGAGGCAAAAAAGGGCTTAGTGTCTTTTAGGGACAGAAAGAAAGGTAGGATGGCCGGAATATAAAGTGAGGGGCCCCAGCTGTACAAGATGAGATAGAGGTGGGTGAGGCATCCTGTGTCCTTCAGGTACTTCTGGGGAAGGGCCACTCTTTGGTCTGTCTCCATACGTGCTGGGCACAATCTGTTGCATGTTACAGATGCCCTACCTTTGTGGAAGGGTATGTAAGAAGGAGGACCGCCCCGGTTGTAATCTGACTCCCTCACCTGACTTCTTTTCAGAGATGTCTCTTCGACTGGGTGGTCATTTCATTTTGTCAGCTTATCGACTTCGTGTAGGCTCTATTGCAGATGCTGAACGGGGCGTCAGCAGCACAAAGCAAAAGAGGCCATATGGCCCCGTGATTCCAAGTGCAGTCTCAAAGCTTGATTCTGCTGCTGGCTAACTGAGATACTGGCCAAGTTATGCAGCCTCTCTGAGCTTAAGTTACTCCTGGGCTAAAACAGGGAAAGTAAGAGTCCCCACTTGAGGCCTGGTATGCCTGTGAGGTGACAGGCTGTGATGTTACCTAGTCCCTGGGATGAAGCATTTACTCAATAAACGTTAGCTGTTAATAATCACAGTTGCAGTGATTGCTGTATGGATATTGCCCTAGTTAACAACGCCACCCCAGAGCAGGGAGAGCACTGTGAGAAACATAGATGGGGTGGATCATTACAAAGGAGGTTACATTTGAGCCTTTGGAAATTGGAGAAAGATTTTGTCAAGTGCAGTGGGGCGTTGCAACCAGATCAACAGTTGGGTCAATTCAAGTGGCTTCAGCAACTTGCAGCTATAATTCAAGGAAAGGAACGTAAACGGAAGAAATAAAGGCACCAAGTAAATAATGTTGGATCTTGGAACGTGAGGACCCTGAGTCCAGTTTGCCTCTGTTTGAATCCCTTATTAAATGCCAAAAAGCAGACAGCATTTTATGTCTACACCGGCCCTAATTCCTCCCCTTTCCTCTCCCGTAAGTGGCTGTGTTCTGGGCACCTGAAGCCACTGGTCCTCTCCTGCTGTGACAGGCAGTTTTCTGAATTGGTTTGGTTGTAAGACTTGTGAATCCATCGTCCTCTGTGCCGGATTCTGTGTGTGTGTGTGTGTGTGTGTGTGTGTGTGTGTGTGTGTGTGTGTTGGTCCTCGGGGCCCTGTCCCCTTTATCTAATGCTGCTGCTTTTTATGTCCCACAGGTTCCCTAATACAACTCATGAAGGTTTCAATGTCACCCTCCACACTACCCTGGTCGTCACTACGAAGCTGGTGCTCCCGACCCCTGCCAGGCCCATTCTCCCCGTGCAAACCGGGGAGCAGGCTCAGCAGGAGGAAAAGTCCAGCGGCATGACCATCTTCTTCAGCCTCCTCGTCCTAGGTGAGCGTGGAGACACCTGCTGTCTTCTGTGTCTGTGTGTGCTGTCTGTGAGGTCAGCCCCGTCTGAGCCACCGTTTTCTTCCTTCCGTTTGGTTTGCACTTGAGACACTGAGGGACGATGTTCACTTCATCACATCAGAACAGGGCGCTCCTTCTTCTGCGTAAAATCATGAGCTTAGCGATTCCGAAGAGCTCTTTATGTCTTAGATACCATTCTAGTATGGTGGATTTCAAGCTCTGCTCAGGGGTGTGTATGCGTGTGGAGATGGTGGTGATAACGGAGGCGGGGTAAGTCAAATGGGAGGGCATCCGCCTTTGTGACCCGAGATAGCATTTTGTCTCATTACTCTTAGGTTTCCATGTAAATTTTATTTAACTACAGGTTTTGCTGCCAAGTGAAAGATCATACGTCCTTGCCCTCGCACATTTTCCTTTCCCCTTTAACTCTCCATTAACTGTGGTTTTGACTTTTACCATATCTGTGTACCACCTGTGCTGTTATTTACTCATGTAATATTTTTCTTCGAACAGATTTACTCTCCTAGACTTAAAGTCTCATTTTGGTCAACCTCCTCCTGTAACGGGTGAGAAAATTTAGGTCCAGAGAGATTAAGCAATTGACTTGCCTGGGTTTTGGGCGATTAGAGATTAAAATTTGGTTGCTGGACCTCAGTCGAGTTGTTTAGGTAGTAGGTGATCATTTAGGTAGATGCCTCTCAGAGACCGTAGACAACGGTTTTAGACCAAAAAAAAAAAAAAAATCCAGATGAAACTACATAACAACTTTGGACTAGCTGACTAAGGAAGAAATAGCTTCGAATCTGACCCAAATGCACACTTTTTGAAGAGTGAAGTTGGCATATTTACATTCTCCATTCTCCTTTAATGATACTGAGTCACATTTCTAATTAGAATAGGTCTCTTCAGAGGAGCGGTAAGTACAACTGGATGGAAAGGTGCAGAGCATTTCTCTGATGTCTATTTAGGACTTCTTTGAGGAACACTAGAACTTCTTTCATATTTACATATGGATTCTGTTAATGGTCATATAGTTTGAATATAATAATTTTATTTAAAATCCTAGGACTTGAGGATGGCTGGCTCAGTCAGAAGAACATGTGACTCTTGAGCTCGGGGTCATGAGTTTGAGCCCCATTTTGGGTGTAGGGATTACTTAAAAAGAAAGTCTTTAAAAACTTATAAAATAAAATCCCAGGATTCAGCCTTGTCTCTCATCGATTCCAAAAAACTTAACAAAAAATTTTTTTAATGTTTATTTATTTTTGAGAGAGAGACAGAGCACGAGCAGGGGAGGAGCAGAGAGAGAGAGAGAGAGGGAAACACAGAATCTGAAGCAGGCTCCCGGCTCTGAGCTGTCAGCACAGAGTCCAGCTCAGGGCTCGAACCCTCAGACATGAGATCAAAGTTGACCGATTGAGCCACCCAGGTGTCACAAAAGAACTTTTAAATAGAATACTGAAAAAGTACGCAAACCACAGGCGTTCATTGTCCCACATGGACTTGATGTGCCCAGATAATTTTTTACCTCATGAATGTGGTTGAATTCTGTTTCTAGGGGATGACTTCAACAATCAAGGACTCTCTTGTTTTGTTTCTCCTTTTTACTCTGTGATGGTAGTCGAATATAAAGAAAAGCAGTCCTTTTCTCGGTCAAGAGATCTTTAGTGTCTGAATCCGTAATCCTGAAGGACAAGTATTACTAGTCTCTTTATATTGTTGTCAGCTTCATGCTAGAGAGCGTAACAGGCAGAGACCAGGAAGAAAACTTGTGTTTTGTAGTCTTTTTTTTTTTTTCATGGGGAGATAAAAAGGATAAGTCAGACTTTCAAAGTAATTTTCAGGGTGTGAAACATTTAAGGTCAGTTTGTGCCAGAGACCACAAAACTGGTGGTTACAGTGCTTTTTCATCCCAGCCCAACCCTGCGCGTGGTAGCACATCTTTGGGGCCAGAAAGGTCTAAACTGTATTTATTAGTGCTGTGTATTTTACTTGGATGTCGTTTCAAGCAGATCATAAACCTAAACTTTAGAGACACACTAAAATCAGGTGGCTTTTGTTCTCAGCTGCTCAGACCATTGGCAGTCCATGAATCGGTATCTCCACTTTTTATGTGTAGGTCTGTATGCATTAGCAGAGTGGAATGCTTTCTTTTAAAATAAATTTGAAGACATTTTTTCTCTTTGCTTGTGTATTATCAACAAAATATATATCTTGTACACGTATTCCTGATCAGATGTCCAAACGTACAAGTCTGATTAAAAATTAGAGTTAATAGGTATGTTCCTGGAGCGCCTGGGTGGCTCAGTTGGTTAAGCCTCCAACACCAGCTCAGGTCACCATCTCACTGTCCGTGAGTTCAGGCCCTGCGTTGGGCTCTGTGCTGACAGCTCAGAGCCTGTAGCTGCTTCACATTCTGTGTCTCCCTCCCTGTCTGCTCTTCCCCTATTGAGCTCTGTCTCTGTCTCTCTCTCTCATTCTCAAAAATAAAGATAGATTAAAAAAATAAACAAAATAGGTATCTTGCTAACTAAGAATACATGAACTGTAGTGAACTGAGGGAAATTGGGGTCCATAGTTCTTCTAGACTTCAGAAACTCCTAACCCGGAACACATTTAACCACTTTTGTTTACTATTTCAGTGAAGTCAAATGAAATTGTAACTTTTATGGCCTTTAAGCTTGTCAGAGAATTACAATGTGTTCTCCTTTTTTGAGAAGGAATGCCAAAACTCTAGTTACTCTTGACTTTAGAAGCTTGAAATCAGTTGACTTACACTTAACCCTTGCTGATGTTTGACTGCAGAAACAATGGTGAGTCATTTTTATTGACCTACACCAGAGTTGAGTTAGCATCATTTGACGGATTTTATGGACCATTAAATTTATTGGAGTTATTAAAATTGATATGCCTATGTTTTAATGAAGTTTCCATAATTATTACTTCAGGCATGAACATTTAGAAGCCTGTTAAGTTGTGGTATACCTACCCTACATACCTCACAGAAATTTTTGTCTCTTCTTGCTGTTTTTTTCCAAGTATACTTGAAAACATGTACTTTTATTTGTATATACATATATACATTCAATAGCACAGTTACATGTAAAGGCACATATAGCTTGGATTTTGTTTGTTTTAATACAAACAGGATTCGGTAACTTGCTTTTTCATCTCACGGATGTCTTGGAGATCTTTTTATGTTCTATTTTTTGTATCTACTTTTTTTTCAAGTATATGCATGTGTTAAACATAAAATATATACACATTTTATCTCAAGTGTACAATTCAGTGTCATTTAGTACTCTCAGTGCTGATGCAGCCATCAGCATTATCTAGTTTCAGAACATTTTCATCACCCCAAAAGGAAACCCAGTATCCATTAAAAGCAGTCACTCCCCTGGGGCGGCTGGGTGGCTCAGTCGGTTAAGCGTCATGATCTCACGGTTCGTGGGTTTGAGCCCTGTGTTGGGCTCTGTGCTGATGGCCAGCTCAGAGCCTGAAGCCTATTTCTGGTTCTGTGTCTCCCTCTCTCTCTGACCCTCCCCTGTTCATGCTGTCTTTCTCTCTCTCTATCAGAAATAAATAAAACATAAAATTTTTTTTTAAAAAAGCAGTCACTCCCCATCTTCCGCTATTCCCAGTCTTTAATAAACACTATTTTGCATTCTATCCCTAGGAATTTGCCTATTCAGAATATTTCAGACAACTAGAATCATGCAATATGTGGTCTCTTATGTCTGGCTCCTTTCACTTTGCAGTGTGTCTTCAAGGTTCATCTGTGTTGTAGCGCACAGTAGAAGTACATTCATTTTTATGGTTGAATAATTGCTTTGTAGATATACCACATTATGTTTATTCATCAACTGACAGACATTTGGGTTGTTTCTATGTTTTGGCTATTGTGAGTAGGGCTGCTGTCGACATGTGTGTATAGGTTTTTGTGTAGTTGTATATTTTTATTTCTCTCTGATGCATGCCAGCTGCTGGGTTAAATGGTTGCTCCCTGTATAACTTTATCAGGAACTCAGACTTACCACAGAGGCTGCACCATGTTTCGTTCCCACCAGCAGCGCCCTAGAGTTCGGCGTCTCCACATCCTTGCCAACACTTGTTATTTTCCACTGTGTTTTGTTTTGTTTTTTAATCATCACTATCTTTTACTCATCGGTGGGTGTGAAGTTCCATTTGTGGTCTTGATTTGCATTTCTCTCAAGGACAAATGAGGTTGACAAAGCATCTTTTCATGTGCTTATTGGCCAGTTGTATCTTTGGAGGGATGTCCTGGTTCTTTGTCCATTTCTAAATTCCATTGTTTGTCTTTTTTCCATTGACTTGTAAGAGTTCTTTATGTATTCTGGTTGCTAGACCTTTATCAGATAAATGATTGACAAATATTTTCATCCATTCTGTGCACCCTCTTTTCAGACCTCATCCTTTTAAACGGCTGAAGGCCATTCCCTGGCATTGCTGAACCTCGGCTGAAGGCCATTCCCTGGCATTGCTGAACCTCGTATTTAGCTCTCTCTGTTGTAGACAGTTTCCCCCTCTGTCTTAAAGGTGCAGATCGTTGTTTGATTTACAAAAATGAACTACTTACTTACTTTTAAACTTGGAAGTTTTTTAAAAATGTCACGTTTATTTATTTTTGAGAGACAGCAAGAGCGTGTAGGGGAGGGGCAGAGGGGGTGGGCAGAGGATCAGAAGCCGACTCTGTGCTGACAGCCGAGAGCCTGACACGGGGCTCAGACTCACAAACCATAAGATCATGACCTGAGCCAAAGTCGGGAGGCTAATTTACCGACTGAGCCCCCCAGGTGCCCCGAGAATAAACTTTTTAAATTAATTTTTTTATCTAGCTTGGTGCAAAAAAAGATCAGAAACAGAGTGAACTCCCTAGGTGTGTATTCGGCCCACTTATGTGGCTGCCTTTTTAGACAGGAGGCCTGCTCACCAGTCACACTTTGTGCTCACGCATTAGAACAGTTTTTCTTCCTCTTGGTATTTAATGTAGGATTTTTCTAACTAGGTTAAATATTTATAATAAAGTAACACCACAGATTGATAGTTTAAAGCACAGAATGCAAGAAGGACAAACTTTCTATATTTACAACTCTTTCCTTGTTCTGGCCACCTGGCACTCTTTGGTAGGCCTAACAATACCTAGTCTGTCAGTGTGGGCTCTGAAGGTGGCCATTTAACCACTCTGCGGATTGTTTAAACATTTCCTTTTACAAAAAAAGCAACAATTATACTTAGTACTGTTGAAATAGTCCTGTGATTGACGAGATGGTATCCTGTCTCGATGCATCATAAAGGAAAGAGGTGGGCACGCTTGCATTTGGACCATGAAATTACATTTAGGAATTATTTATGTGAAAGCATACTCTTATGGGGCGGTGGGGGGGGGGGGTTGTCCAGAAATACTTACCTCTTTCAGTTTTACATCCTTTTGTTTCTTTTCATGACAGCACCCCTGTGAGCAAATTTAGATGTGACTCCTATTTTGGTGACTGAGAAATGAAGATAGTCGGAAGGGAGGTGGTGGATGCCTGTGGTTAAAGGCACAGGGTTGGGGCGCCTGGGTGGCTCAGTCAGTTAAGTGTCCCAACTCCTGATTTTGGCTCAGGTCATGATCTCACAGTTTCGGGAGTTTGAGCCCTGCGTGGGGCTCTGGGCTTGCACGCTGTCTCTTTTTCTCTCAAAATAAATAAATAAAACTGAAAAAGAAAATAAAAATATAAAGGATCAGAGTTGGAATCGGGCTCAACCCGGCAGCACCTACCAGTGACAAGATGTCTTGAAGCCTGGTTTTGTACCTGTAATCACAGGAGATTATGGTAATAGCTAATTAAGAGGGGGTGCTGGGGGCCGTGGGAGACCGTGTTTAAGGTGCTCAGTGCAGTGCCAGGCTCCGGGGAGCCCTCAACCAGTGGGAGCCCCAGTACCAGTGGAGGAGCAGGCGCCCCACCTTTAGGTCTGATGTCCTCACCAGCCCACAGCACTGCCTTTGTCCTCTGTGTGCTGCACTCTCACTTCATTCTCTCTGAAAAGAGAACCAATCCCACGGTGGCAAAACACTTTGTGGCAACATATTCTGTTGCTATCATATTTGATTTAAAGAGATTGATTTCACTGACTTCCTCCTACCATTTCAGGTTTTCCAGGTGATTACTTCCAAAAAGATGAAGACCATTTCTCAGAAGTAGAAATTTGAATACATGACTGTATAAGGTTTAACCAGTTAGGGGAAAAAAATTTGATGTCTGTTGCTCTTTCAGTAACTACTGGAAAATAAACTAGTTCAGGCGTATAAAGAAATCTGGAGACCATGTTAGAAACACCGTGAGTCTCTTTCCAGGTTGAAAGTAAGGGATTGGAAATACAGCTGAAGTTTACCCTGTCGTTGCCTGCTGTCCATTTTCCTTAGTAGCACCTCCCCCCTCCAGAAGTAACCATTGCTTTGAACTGGTGTTTCTTATTTAAAATTGTGCTGTTTTAACAGTGTCTTATTTTTTCCCACAGCTATCTGCATCATACTGGTGCATTTACTGATCCGATACAGATTACATTTCTTGCCAGAGAGCGTTGCTGTTGTTTCTTTAGGTAAGTGCTTATCAGTGATCCTATAATAAAAGCAGTAATAACACCATTTTTTGAGTGCCTCCGCAGTGCCAGGAACCGCATCAGGCGTGGTACATGCCCCATTTCATTTCATCCTCACTGCAGCCTACCACGAGGGTGTTATGATTCCATTTTACAGATGAGGACACCGTGACTCAGAGAAGAGTGATGGCCTCCTAAAGGTCACATAGAAGCCCCCCTGTTTTGCTTCTAGAAATACCCTCGGAGCCTCCTGGTGCTGACCGCAGGCTGTTCTTACACTGACTGAACAGAAAGAGGAGGCAGAGTAAATCCACCCACATACACCCCAGCCCAGGTGCTTTGCCTGGTCTGTGTTGTGAATGGGGGGACACAGAGTTGAGGAAGGGGGAAAAAGAAATACCCTTGGGGGCACACTGACCTCTGTTACTGGGCAGTGCAGACACCCAAGTCAACTAAGGCAAGTAATTCGTAGGGTCACTGAATTTTACAGCCAGAAGGGACTCTCACTTTATGATTTAAGGAGCAGAAATGGCTCACTTTAATGTCAGAGTTGGATCTAAGGTCTTCAGGAGCATTCCATTCTACCTCACTTACATTTCTTCCTCGTTTCCTGTGGCAGTTAATTGTTAGATAACCAGCTTCCATCTGTCAGTTATACTTCAGTAATGTTAAAAAAGGAAAAAAGGTAATCAGCCCCCATTTAGAGGGAATGAATCAGTGTAGTAATAGATGTGAGCTCACATGAAAGTTAATTGAAATGGTTAATGAAGGAAGAAGTAGGGACCTTACTTTTCAGTAAGTATTAAAATCAAGACTAAAATGTGGTTGGGGGTGCTTAAGGCATGGTAAATAAGGTTTCACTAAGAAAGGCCCGGAAAGGCATTTCTCAGTTTATGATGCTGTAGTTACTCTTACTAGTTTCCACTTGCCTACTAAGGAGATTTAATTTTTCCTTTCACCACTGATGCTAGGTTTTGTTGAGCAAATTTAGTAATACTTTTATAATACACAGATGGTTCAGCTCGGCTTTGGAAACGAACGTTCAGACTCGGATTCACCTTCCCCTGACATCATGTGCATTCCTGCTACCCTGGTTCTGCCCCTCCTGTGTTTCCCTGGGCTTCACACTCCTCTAAATGCCCGGTTCTCCTCTGTGAGCTTTTGCATTGCCACCTCATGTAGGCCTTGTAACCCCCTGGAGATGCCACATCTTAAGGAAGAGACACCACTGGATAGTACTGATCTTCAGTAAAGGAGTGGAAAACACTTTTGCTCAGAGTTCCATTCTTTGTTTAGCCGGCTCTTGAGCTGCACACCCTGGCAGATTCTGACAGCCCTGGCTAATGAGATAGAAAGCCTTCAAGCGCGGAGAATGGTATGATCATTTATTAACATCCCTTTTCTGCTATCAAGAAATTGAAAATAACCTACACAACTAATACCTATTCTGGGACATTCAGTAAAGACTTAAAACACCACTTCAAGGAATGTACAGTTTTGCAGTCAGCTTTCATAGTTTCTTAGCATAAGAACTATAGCTGATGTGTACTTAGGTATTGTGCCGTGGAAATGCTGGTTCTTATGATTTGGTTTGGAATGTCATGTTCTTCCCTCTTTGCATGTTTGGGTACCTCTAGGTCAGTAAGCACCAGGGCTTGTACTAGGAGTTACAGCAGACACTGTCGGTTGCCTACCCGAGAGCCGTTTCCCCCGGCTTCCTTGAAAACAGAACCCTACTTTTGATCAGGTATCTTGCACTCAAGGACGTGCACTCAGGGGAGATGGGCACCTCCATGTAGAGACCGGTCTCTGCCGTCAGGACACTTCCACTCTCCGTAGCCATTGGGTGGTTGAGTGAGATGAGGCAGCAAGGCAGCGTGCAGCCCCGTCCTGGCCAGGGGGACCGCGGGGAAGTGTGCGGAGGTGGAGTGCGCCTTACCTCCCCGATGAAAAAGTTCCCATACCTTTGATTCAGTTGTGTGAGGATCTGATCCCTGGAGCATTGGGAGACATCTTGCCATCACTGTGGCTCAAAGACAAAAGGCAGAATGCTAAAGATCGCCAAGGGGACAGATGAGGAGCCCGGATTCTTGACCGCATTGCTGTTCTGTTGAATCGATAGTCCTGGAGCTGCCTGTTGTATGAAATAAGAAACATCTGTTGTTGAAGCCAATTTTAGGCAGGTGTTCTTTCACTTGGAGCTAAAAGTATCTTAACTAATATAGGACCCTTTCCATTCAAGGGACAAAATCAGTTCAGATTGATTCAAAGAGAAATTGGCAGGGGCGGAGTTGCGTACCCATTGGCCTGTGGAGCGGAAAAACCTACCAGTGACACTAGCTTCAGACTTAGCTGGATCAAGCCTCCTGGACTCCGCTTTTCTCCATTTCTCAGCAGGGCTTCCTTTGTTTTGGCTTCACTCTCAGGCAGCCTCCGTGTGACTGATCAGCCTTCAGCTTCAGGCCTCTCACCCTTATGGCAGCAATCACAGTGGGGCAAGTGGCCTCCTCTTCTCCCGGGTTCCACCAGAAGTTGTAGGATAAACTCTGACCTCCTGGCCTCCCCATTCTGGACATGGGGTGGAATGGTGTTGGCAATTGGCCAAGGCTCTCCATCCACAGGGTTTATGTCTTCACTGGTGTAGCGGAAATAACAGTACCCTGTACAGGGCATGGGAAGGTTGATGGAAAGTAAGTCTTGGCTTTTAAAACTTTCGTCAGCTAACTCAGGTGATCAGGGCGCTAAGAGGAGTTCCGGGGAGGCGGCTGGGGTCCAGAAGGTATTATGTTAGCAGACATTTGGTTAGAATTTAGAAATGCTGACAAAGCTATCAAAATGGTTCTGTATTTCATAAAGCCGTGTAAATTGAAGGAAAGCTTTTTTTTTTTCTCTTACTGGAGCAAAGTGTAACAAAATATCGAGATAACCACCATTTCAAGAATTTCCAGCTTTTGTGCCAACAAAGAATCTAGATGAAGCTGCCAGAGAAAATAGGGTTTTCATTCTTTCAGGGATAAACTCTCCCAGCCCATCTCTTCTAGCCCAAAGTGACTTTTCCGTCTGCAGTCATTGAGACACGATTGGCCTTTCCTGTTACAGTAAACATCAGAGTACCTGACAAACTACTGGTATAGAGAAGGACTATCTGCACTTGAAAAGCACATTTTCCCCCGTCTTTTTAATTGTAATTTCAATTGAGTCTCCAGACTTTTCTCATTCTTTCTAAAAAAAGTATCAACATGAAATTCTAAAAATATTTTCTTGACCCTTCTTCAAAGCTTTTGGATACTTTTTATACTTAGGGAATTTTGTAGCTTAGGCCTTTAAAAAAAATTTTTTTTTTTTTTGCACAAAGAGCTATACAGAAAAAGAACAATCCTTTTCATTGACAACTTTAGCTATTTTTATTCCGCTTCATTCCTTTCCAAACCATATGTAGACATACATGTAGATTAGATGACTTTACTTGGTTTCAGTTTATATTTTTTTGTGTTCTTTCCTTTTTAATATCCATTTATTAAAGTTCACGTATTTACTCTTATCAGTGCTGATTCACTCTCTATTTGGGGCTGAAATTTATAAGGAATAAAAACAAAATAATTGTACTGCCCACTCTCTGCTGTTGTGTATAGCAAAACGGAGATTCCCTACCCTCCCTTCATACTTTAGTTTACAGAGAGGAGAGGCTAGAAGGGATTAAGTAAGGGCTGGAAATTTGCCCTTTCACATGCCAAGGTTTAACTTGAATACTGCTGATTTGATTGAATCATTGACTAGCATACATGAAAAGTGCTTCTTTGTCATAACTTCCTTAAGTATGTGCCTTTAGTATTATTGACTCATTCTTGTTCTGACTAAAGGACTTTATTTGTTATTTTTTAAATTAAGAATAGTACTCTGGATGGCTCAGTCAGTTGAGTTTGTGACTGTAGCTCAGGCCATGATCTCAGGTCTCCTGAGTTTGAGCCCCACATCAGACTTGCTGCTGACAGCGCAGAGCCTGCTTCAGGCCCTCTGCTCCCCATCTCTGCCCTTCCGCACTTGTGCACACACTCTACTTTAATTAAAAAAATTTTCTTTCGCACTTGATCTTAGCCAAAAGGCCAAGAAGTGATGAAAAAAAATTTTTTTTAATATCCACTTATTTTTGAGACAGAGACAGAGCACGAGCAGGGGAAGGGCAGAGAGAGAGGGGGACACAGAATCCAAAGCAAGCTCCAAGCTGTCAGCATAGAGCCCAACATAGGGCTCGAACCCATGAACTGTGAGCTCATTACCTGAGCCGAAGTCAGATGCTTAACGACTGAGCCACCCAGGTGCCCCCAGCCCCAAAACAAACATTAAAAAAAAAAAAGAATAGTGTTCCTTGTGTCAATGGGGCTTTTGAGTGAAAGGTGATGAAAAATCACTCATTTCCTGAGTTGCTGACTAAATGTAATTCTGGAAAAAGCATATGTAATAGTGATATATTTTTTTTAATGTTTATCTTTGAAAGCAAGAGACACACACACATACACAGAGTGTGAATGGGGGAGAGGCAGAGAGAGAGGGAGACACAGAATCCCCAGCAGGCTCCAGGCTCTGAGCTGTCAGCACAGAGCCCGACGTGGGGCTCGAACTCACAGACTGAGAGATCATGACCTTTGCTGAAGTCAGATGTTTAATCAACTGAGCCATCCAGGCACCCCTGTAGTAGTGATATTCTAATTGTACTTAACTTCTAAAAAAAAGGAAAAGAAAAAGAGAAAATTCATTTTAAGACAAAGGGAGAATCCTAGCTGCAACTAACAGCTTTTGCTATTTTTTAGACCCATTAAAGCCTAATGCTGATGCAGCTTGCAGTGTCTCCCAGGGATCTCTCCCTGAATCTGAGGTGCTTTGATTTTTATTAGAGAAGAAACGGGTATTCATTTGTTGGTATTAGAGTAGCTGTCTTAGAGGCAGAGGCCAAAATTGGTTGTCAAACTGACAAAATGATCACGTTAGGCTCTCGGGATTCT